ACATTCCATGCTTTTGGATTTGAAGAATTAACATTGTGAAAATGTCCATACTATACAAAGCAATCTACAGATTCAGTGTGATCACCATCAAAATACCAATGACATTCCTCAAAGAAACAGAAAAAACAATCCTAACATTCATATGGATCAACAAAAGATCCTGAATAGTTAAACCAACCTCCATAAAAAAAAAATAAAATAAAATAAAATAAAATAAAACTGGAGGCATAACACTACCCTGACTTCAAATTATACTACAAAGCTATAGTAACCAAAACATCATGGTACTGGACTAAAAACAGACATCAAACCTATGGAACAGAATAGAGAACCCAGAAATCAACCCACATACTTACAGCCAACTGATCTTTGATAAAGGCAACAAGAACATACTATTCGGGAAAAGACTGACTCTTCAATAAATGATGCTGGAAAAACTGGACATCCATATGTAGAAGAATGAAACTAGACCTGTACCTCTCACCATATAGCAAAGTCAACTCAAAATGGTTAAAGATTTAAATATAAGACCTGAAACTATAAAACTCCTAAACAAAAACACTTCAGGAAGTAGGACTCAGCAAAGACTTTATAAATAAGACTGCAAAAGCACAGGAAACAAAGGAAAAATAAATAAATGGGATTATATTAAGCTAAAAATCTTCTGCACAGTGAAAGAAACAATTAACAGAGCGAAAAGAATGAGAGAAAACATTTGCAAATTATGCATCTGACAAGGGATTAATATCCAGAATATACAAGGAATTCAAAAACAGTTAAAAAAAAAAAAGTAACCTCAAGGAATTCAAAAACAGTTAAAAAAAAAAAAAGTAACCCGATTAAAAACTGGGCAAAGGAGCTGAAGAGGCATTTCTCAAAGGAAGATATACAAATGGTCAACAGACACATGAAAAACTGCTCATCACTCAGCATCCCAGAAATGCAAATCAAAACCACACCGAGATGTCATCTTATGCCAGTCAGACTGGCCATTATCAAAAAGAATAACAAAAGCTGGCAAGGATGTGGAGAAAGGGGAACCTTCCTACATGGTTGGTGGGACTGTAAACTAGTGTAGCCATTATGGAAATCAGTATAGATGTTCCTCAAGCAACTACAGACAGAACTGCCATACAATCCAGCAATCCCACTGCTGGGTATATACTAAAAGGAATGGGAATCATCATGTCAAAGGGATACCTGCACTCCCACGTTTACCGCAGCTCTA